ACATACGGTATATATCACATTGGTTACACAATGAATCAAACAATCAGAAGTACCAACTTTACCAAATAACACTGCCTCAGGCAGTGATCGTTGTGAAGGGCATCAGACCCAGGGGCGCCCCAAAATATTTAGTTGACTCAGTGTATGTGGCACTGAACTGCAATAGAAGTACATACCGTATACTGAAACAAAAACTTTATGTTATCCGATACAAGACATCTGGACACTTGGGAGTCCTTATTTAATGGAAATAAAACCAATAATTTCAGGGAGAAGTATAATTTTATTTAACAAATTGTACTGTACCTATTCCAAGTACATACTTTATACAGGTACTATCGTGCATAAAAGTCGTGTCCACTACCCAGCCACAGTGAGGGTTCGAATAGCCTGAGTCTGAAGTTTCGAAACAGCTGGGGGAAATGCTATGGTCGGCCAACAGATGTCGCCCTGTGTTGTGTGGATGGGGATGTGGGGCATGGAGAGGGGAGGGAGCAGGAGGTGGGGGTTAGTCTAGTAACAGGCTGTGTGTAGGTGAAGCATAACATTGAGAATTCTGCAATCACTGATAACAATAAGAATGTCATGAAGATAGTTAAGCATGGTAAATAAAAGCACTACAACGACCATATCTCTGCCGTTCACAGCTACGACGGTGCGACTGATGGGCACACCAGTAAGTAAACCAGCTATGGTAGTCACGGATAATACACAAGTTGTTACCAAGGTTGGCACCACCCACACCAGGGGAAGGAGGTGATGTCGAACACTGAAACATGCTGAGGTCTAATTCCTACCATCGTCGTCACCAACAGGTAAGTCACATTAATTTCTCACCATAGCCCATGTCGTCCTAATACTATTGCAGGGTGTCCCATGAGTGACAGCAGATATTTGCAGAGGTGAAAGAACATGTGATATTGAGTTGAAAATCTTCTATACACATATGCATTTTTCGGTTTGCTTTAGGCGTGAGGTGGGTTGTAAAAATTACGCAGGGCAAAAATTTTGCCATCTTATATTTTATTTTTCTTACCAATTGCAGCCATACTGTGTGCTGTTGTAATCCTTATTGGTGGATTACATATGGCCTATTAATAGTGTGAAAACCCGTTTGAAGATACTGTAATGTTCCATAACTTGCATTAAACATCATACGTTCACGAGTTCCAACTCCGCGCCTAGCCTCCCTCCCCCCAGCCTCTACCCACCCAACTATTAAACCTCATAATTTGAGCATCGTGGGTTACCACACCTAAACACTACTCAACTACTTATTCTCTCCCCACACTCCCCCTCTACCATCCCCCCACTTCACTCCTCCCTCCCCCACCTCTTCCCTTCCATCCCATCACATTACCTTCCCCAACCCCCCTCCCCCTATTCTACCCATGGCGACGAATTGGACTACTGTAATGAACACTCACAGAACCTACGACATGGCTCCTCCCCCTTGTATTTAGAGTTAAAACCTTTACAACAAAGGTCAATCCCACGTAACTTGAGCCGGATTAAGATATGTGGGGAAAAAAAAACAAGCAGCACCCATGACCACCCCCCTACCCCAACCTAAAATCATAGCCACCATGTCTTTATCTCCATCCATTTCCCTTTCTATAATAAAAAGTGTAACCCTACTCAGAAAAAATAATGAGTGGGCCCTCCAAACAAATTAAAGATGAGGTGCACCCCACCCAAATAGGGATGGGCCCTCCATTTCCTTTCACCTTCTTTTCTCCACATCCTTTCCTCCCTCCCATCGCCCCAGTCACCCCAACCTACCACCCAATATCATGCAGTGGGCAGAAGGCCACACACTTTCCCTCCTCCTAAAAGTCTGTTCTGTTTAACCCACATTCTTTCACTACTAAACCTTCTTCCCCCTTTCCTATATTTCGCTATCGCTATCTCCCGCCTCGACTCCACCATTTGAAATGGTTGCCTTGCGTAATTTGTAAAATCCACCTCACGGCTAAACGGAAACCAAGAAATCCATATATGTATAGAAGTTTTATACTCAGAATCACATATTCTTTCACCTCTACAAATATCTGCTGTAATTAGTGGGACACCCTATTATAATTATATGACAGTTGTTATATGAGCTCCTTAGTTAACTTCACCATAAAAATATGGTGTTTGATGTGCTATGCGTTTGCCGCACATTACCTTACTCGGTTATGTTACACCCCCAGTTGCAACCTGGGAGTTTGGGTTGGGTAATGTAGTATTTTGAGCAGAAATGGAATTCAGAACGACTCAATGAACATGAAGAAAAACGTTTTTATATAACGAACCCTAACGTAATGTAACCTATTACAGTTATATGTAATCTGGGACGAACATGTCATAGCTGAAAATTGTCAAAGAAATATGTAAAGCAGTGGAAAACCATATATTTTGATTATCGGCGAGGCTAACTACCTATAAACAATTAATATTTGACGATTGGCAAAAGTCCTGGGAAAATGAACCAACAAGTCATAAGCTAAAAATGATCAAATCATCAGTTTATCCTTGGTCATCATCAAAACAATCCTCTCGACATCACGAAACTATTCTGAATCGTCTAAGAATTGGGCATACGCGATTGACGCATGGCCAACTCATGTCTTCCCCTAATGGAGCCCCACCTATATGCTCCAACTGCCGAACACAAATAACAGTCCAACATATTCTCATTGAATGCCCTATTTATAATCGGTATCGAACAATGTGCTTCACTAACCCTACAATGTAAGATATTTTAGCAGAGACCCCAAAATTTTCCCTAAGTTCAGTTTTGACCTTTTTGAAATACTGTAATCTCCTCCAAACAATATAACACTAAATTATAGAAACACAAATATATGTTAACTAATCCCTCTGGCCAGCCCTAGGAGAGACTCAAATGGGTGTCAGTGGTCTTGTTAAACTAAATCTTGATGATGATGATGTTCAATGTTCAGTCGCAGGGGTGGTGGTGGAGGTTTGGGGGTGGGGGGGGAGGATCCACTTGCAGTTCACTATGAATACATGAAATAGGAAGGGTTTCTTGGGCAGTTGATCCAAAAAGATTTACCAAAACGTTATGTCAGAGTAATAATACTTAACCTAGGTGTTACTAATACCATTAATTTACTCTAGTATATAAAAGCCTGCATCAGTTACCACAACATAATATTACTCTGCCATTTCAGATATGCCTGCAGGACGAGCAAATTCGTCGGCAGTGATTGCTGAGCGAGGCCAAATCATCGGGATGTGGAGAGCCGGGGCAACTGTGCCGAACATTGCTCTCGAAGTGGGGAGGAGCACTAAGACGATTAGGAGGTGGATCCGCCGGTGGGAGGAAGAGGGCTCAGTGGAGACGAAACCTCGAAGCGGGAGGCCACGAGTAACGTCGGCAAGGATGGACGCCATGATCGTGGCAGCTGCAACGGCATATCCAATGCGAACATCAGTGGAGCATACAAGAAATCTGGGCCTCAACTGCCATCACATGACGACGAGACGCCGACTTCATGAAGCCGGGATCGACTGCCATATTCCAGCTCACAAAGGGTGGCTAACACCTACTCACAAGGAGTGTCGACTCGGCTTTGCATTGGAACACCTTCCACATAGAGAAGAATACTGGAGAACCATTATATTTACCGATGAAACGGTGTTCAGGTCAGTGGGAGCCGAAACAAGGCAGTGCTGGCTGCCCCCCAACACACGCTACCATGAGAAACACATTCAACATCGTGCAGTGAGTGGTAGGGTGTCAGTGTCATTCTGGGGGTGGATGTGGGCACATGGGCCAGGTGAACTGGTCAAGATCAATGGCTGACACACACACACACACACACAGAGAGAGAGAGACTTTCAAGGTCATGAGGGGGCAGTGGTTGGAACTTGGAACAGTCACCTAGATTAAGTCTGAATACTATTTTGCAATACTGATAACTTTTTCACTCCACTCTTTTTAACATAAGTATATAATCATATAATATTGCATATTATCAAAAATATTTATTAAGCAAAGGATGGGTGGAATATAAATAAATATTACCATAATCTCTTTGTCGGAATAACAACAAAATTGTGATGTGGTCGCTGAGTAAAACTAGCTGACCAAGGCCCTTCACCCTGATCCTTGCATATTTCACTTTTATCTTTACGATATTCCATTCTTTAAAGTATCATAGTGACCTGAGCGACAATAAGCACCCAGGGCACTCCATGAATTCGTAACCATAAAGAAACAACTATAAGACAAAACGTAGTTAAAAAGGCAGCTTGAAATTATGGTGGTATAAATAATAAATAAACAACCCTTTAGTGAACAATTTAACACCAGTCTGGTTGAGGCCAAACGGTTCTTTTTCCTTAGCCTTTATTCATGTTTGTAACTTTTTCTTCTTATGCATAATCCCAAACCCCAGCCATCCTACCCTCCAAAGGGTCTTGCACCCCCGAGTCCATAATCTTCCAATTACAAGAAATCATAGCTTTTCCCTAAATTTACTGCAGCCATCAGTGTCAGTGACAATGCCAAATACTGTATATGAATGCTCGTCATAAGACGTCGAATATGCCGCACAGTTGTAGAAGCATGCATGTCCGAGTGACATCATAGGGAATAATGTGGGGAGGTGAAATGCTGGGGCCCAGGGAGCTTTGTTGCACATCTCCACAGAAAATAACATTTTCTATACTGCTGTTCTAACACCTGAGATACTGCTCGTGCAGTAATATTTGTTCTACAGGACTATACTAATTATGCTGCTTCAGCCTTGTTTTATCTTTCGGTAACACTGCATTACAACTTATATAATTCAATCTTATCAATAATATATACCATCTCTGTCACATTTCTCACGTTATTAGTACCGTGTATATGGTTCGTGATAATGCTCCACTCTCACACAACCTGCCTCTCATCCAGCCCCCCCCACACACACACACACACTACAGTGGGCGACATCTGTTGGCCGACCATAGCATTTCCCCCAGCTGTTTCGTAACTTCAAACTCAGGTTATTCGAACCCTCACTGTGGCTGGGTAGTGGACACGACTTTTGTGCACGATAGTACATAAAACTGCAAAAAATGGTAGCTGGAATATTCTAAATAACCATGACAGCCAAGTTAAAGTTCCAATCATTAAAGCTAAAATAAGTTCCAAGCACCATAAAAAATATTAAAAACACATTTATCATAATACTAAATACAGTAACTGAAATCATGTAAAGACATTACAAATAATGTAAAAAAGACAGCAACAATAATTACAGTACTGTCAACAAAGTGGAGTGTGGCAGCTTGATAAATCAAGAGTCAGGCAGCTTAACATTAAGTTACTTCAGCGAGTCCAAGAAACCATTACTGCATCGAAGACATTGTTCATAGCACTTCTCAAAGCCTGCATCATCGTCATCCTGAAAAGAAAAGATGTGATTCTAATATCCATGTTATAATGTTATTCTTACTATTTAGGGTGAAGATTGAATTATGACAAGATTGCAGTGCTTGACTGCAACCGTGGAAGAATAATATGGTATGGAAAAAAATAAATAAATACAAAATAATTCACAAGATATTGTAGTGGACTTCTCCCCTACAACTGCCTACAATTGCGTAGCAGCTCACCACCTGCTATCGCATTCCAATGTGCCGCCTTCCCTAGCAACCAACCAGATGTTACCGTATCTTAGCAACGAAACTATTCACCGGCTACTTCTCGGGTTTTCCCACCATGACTCATAGCGGCTGCTGCTGGGTATATAAGCTCTGTCTCTCCATTGAGATTCAGTCTGACCAATCTTCTTGAACAAGCAACGCCTCCTCCTCTGCCGCTGCCTGGCGACCCTCGCCTCTCCTCCGCCTGCCTGGCAGTCCTCGCTCCCGCCAGCGAGCATGTCCTTCTCTGAGCTTCCTCACCAACCAACTCTCATTCTGCCCATTTTCCTGAACAAGCAACATCTCCTCCAGCAAGCTCCACGCTGTTAACATTTCATTCAACCAGGAGGCCAGCAACAGGCAACACCTTCTCTAACGAAGCTCCTGCACATCTACCTCCTTCAACACGATACTCCCGAACGTCTTCTACTGAGCTGCTCCCCACCACACGGCATCTCCAGCACCAGACTGTCTATCATATAACTTATATATATTATATAAGAAAACCACATTAGAGTTTCCTTCCATCCTGAGTGCTAGACAACTTTAATATCTCGATACCCCTACAATGGTGACTCCCGGAGATTAGCACTCACACAGGATGGAGGAGACACTGATCACGCTCCCAGTCTTCAAGCAGACACCAGCTCCTCTTCCTGCCTCACGCACCACATCCGACGACCCCAGCACACCCGTCCTGCCTCAGACGCCGACCCCGGCCCAGCAGTACCTGCCGTGAGGGAAGCACACAACATCCATCGCCTCCACACCCCCTCTTTTCTCCCTCAGGTACTCCCTGCTAATGTCCTGCACCCTGCTGCTGTCGTGGACCCAGCTGCTGTCACGAGCCCTAATCCGCTTCTGCTGACCCAGCCCCTGCTCCTGATCCAGGCCCACACACACCCCAGCAGGCGCATCTGACGACCCTGTACCTGTCGTGAGGGAAGCACAACATTCATCGCCTCCACACACCCTTTTTCTCCCTTCTCCCACAGATAGTGTGTATCTAGACAGTTGTATTTCAGCGATCGGCTCATCACGCCATCGCCGTTGTCTCACATGAGGCATGCACCGCCCGGTCTTCCTCACATGTGCTAAGCAACTCTACAATCAACAAGTCTCCTACACCGCCTGGAGGGGAGGGGGAGTATTGTAGTGGACTTCTCCCCTACAACTGCCTACAACTGCGTAGCAGCTCACCACCTGCTATCGCATTCCAATGTGCCGCCTTCCCTAGCAACCAACCAGATGTTACCGTATCTTAGCAACGAAACTATTCACCGGCTACTTCTCGGGTTTTCCCACCATGACTCATGGCGGCTGCTGCGGGGTATATAAGCTCTGTCTCTCCATTGAGATTCAGTCTGACCAATCTTCTTGAACAAGCAACACCTCCTCCTCTGCCGCTGCCTGGCGACCCTCGCCTCTCCTCCGCCTGCCTGGCGGTCCTCGCTCCCGCCAGCGAGCATGTCCTTCTCTGAGCTTCCTCACCAACCAACTCTCATTCTGCCCATTTTCCTGAACAAGCAACATCTCCTCCAGCAAGCTCCACGCTGTTAACATTTCATTCAACCAGGAGGCCAGCAACAGGCAACATCTTCTCTAACGAAGCTCCTCCACATCTACCTCCTTCAACAAGCTACTCACCGCACGTCTCTACCAAGCAGCCCCTCACCACACAGCATCTCCAGCACCAGACTGTCTATCATATAACTTATATATTATACAAGAAAACCACATTAGAGTTTCCTTCCATCCTGAGTGCTAGACAACATTAATATCTCGATACCCCTACAATATCCTGTTCCAGATGTATAATTCAAAACGATTTAAATAAATTGTGTTAAAGTAACAAAGTAAATTTACTTGAGTACTGTACTCAAGTAACAATTTTGGGTATTTACTTTTAAAAAGTACTAAAATTTTTCAGTACTCTTAAGTATGGGTTTCTATTATTTTTACTCCAATACAATTGAAAAAAAACAAAATCGTTACTCATTACATGCCCAAACAATAGTTTTAAATATCCAATCATAGGACAAACTTGAAATCTAACCAATCACAAGCTTCATGTCTGCTGCTTGTAAGTGTCTGTTTAGTCATGCCGGGCTTATATTTAGGCCCTAAAGACTCGATTGACACCCAAAATTTGGGGAATCAGTTATTGTATTGATTAATCTCAATAGATAAATTTGCAAATAAACATGTGTAATGGTGTGTCTTTTATTTTTTCTTTAGTTAACTTGTTTTTTATTCTGTAATTTATAGTGGATTTACTTTTAATATTTGATTCGATTAATAATTTTGTTGTTACTTTACATTCACTACTTGAGTACTTTATGAATGAAATACTTTTTTACTTCTACTTGAGTACAATGAACTTTGGATACTTTTCCAAAGTCCAATACTTTTACAACTCTGATAAATTTTCACGGTCCAATATATTACTAATATCTGAAATGGTTTCTGCAAGTAGTACTGTAGTCATTGGTACAGTTGCCTTCACATGAATGCACCACAGCCTGGGAGTGCGTGAGGGAACAGGTATGAGATGTGGCAATGCAGTGTCAGTAGTCAGGAGTGAAACCGTGGAATACCCTGTTTGCCGGTCCCCCTGAGTTCAGTCCTAGTCACTCAGTTGTAGCTAAATAACACGTTATTACAGGTTCTCGTTTATCTGTTTTACCTCCTTGTATCTTGTCGCAGATGTTCATGAAATGTATCGAAATAGTGTGAAAGATATTCTAAAATAATTTTTATAAATACAGGTATCCTCAGCATCACAGAAACCCTGCTTACGAATTTTAAACTACAGTGGTCCCTCGGTTAACCTAATCCGGTTAACAAAATTTGTTAACAAATTACCCATAAGATTCTTCACTTCAGTTAACGATCCTTACCTAATTTTCCCCAACATGTTTCGCTTTCTCGGCTGCTCACCAGCTGTAGTATTAGTCCGCCAATACAGTAATCGGTTTTAGGGCTTAAATTGTACCATTTTAGTAAATATCAAGAAGGTTGTACTATTCAATAATTTTTAAAAGTTTTATATCAAATTTTTAGTCATTTTAACAATTATTGAACATAATTGAAGTACAGGAAACTAGTTTTTCGGATATGCAAACAAAACAGCCATCAACACACCAAGCTTGGCATCAGTTTATGTATCTGTTCAGCGAAGGAACATACATTATTGTTTGAGACCTCTTCAACATAAACTCTTTTTTCCATTTTTACAGTCAAATTATTGGTCATTTTAAAATATATTTTACATATTGATAATATATAGCAGTGCAGTGTTTATTTCAAGAAAATATTCTTTATTTACAGCAATAAAACTTAAAATATCAGTGTTGAAATAAAATCCAGCATGGTTCCAAAGAAATCAAGAAATATTTCAATCCAGTTATTTCAATGGCATGTATAAATAATTTGAAGAAATGTTTATGATACATAACTGAACACAAACTGAGGAAAGAATTGAAACTGAGCAGTGCCATTGTTGTTGAGGTTGCTACCAGCTGGAGGGCTGAGCCAGAACCCACACAAAATAAATTTTATAATTTTGGTGAAATTTGAAGTAACCTTATAAACAATAGAAACTTAATAACAGTCAAGATATTGTGTACATATCACAGTATTGAATTTTACCGGTACAGTATGTGCAACTCGCTACTTTTCTGTTTAATTTGAAGCATTCTGTGGCCTTTTAACTACTAACTAAGTTACAGTAAAATAAGTAGATAATAAAAGCATTTCCTACCATCAGGAATTATTACTGGAAATAATATGTTTGGGAACTCCAGTACTCTGATAATTTAAAAAAAATTTTTTATATTTTTAAACCCTGTGTAGAACACTGTTGTCAGCATTTCACTATGTGTAGCTTGCCATAGCAACTGCAAATATATATGTTTTAGATGGTTTTGGCAAATTGAATTTTGACATACATGTAATTGACACTGACTACCGTAAAGACAGCAGAACAGACCCAGACATTTCTGACCCTCATGGGCCTTAACCAAAGTTAACACATACTGCAGGAACACCCTGCTGTAGCTATAAACAAGTGTGGCTGACATGGCCGCCATACAACTGACAATGAAAGCATTGTCTTGGGTTTGGGACATATGGTTTCACCTTAAGGGAGCGTCTGGCTGAAAATACAATGAAAATCGAAAATTACGAAAATATTCAGAAAATTTTCCTGAGGGAAGCTGTTGCCTATGGCTATCTGCTGACATATCTTTACTGCATAATTCGTAATATTTATGTTGCTATGCATGATTGTTCCTACCCCCCTTCATTTAGAAGATCCTTCTGTTTACATAGAAAAGCTGTAGAAAAGTTTATATTATAATATTTTGTGTAAAATAATACCAATCATTTGGTAAACATCAGTATCTGGCACCTTTCTCAGCAAGCTAACCACAGGAGAAAGTGTCACGAGAGTTAGTGACCCATCAAATATGTAGAGTGAGTACGATCGTGAGTTGCTCTTATGCCACCTTTATCGGCATGTATCTCAGAATGAGTTTTTCTATCCTTCATATCCCTAAGGCTCGGCCATTTCTGGGCCAATCCTAATAACTAAGCAGTAGAATAACATATTGTGCATGGCGTGAACATACACATTTTCTTTATATTTGACTTGGTTTACTATTTGCTGCTTTATCTTATAAATATCTGGAGGAAAATATGATAAGTTAGGAAAAAATCACTCAGCCAATACGAATTCGATAATCAGAAATATCTACAG